GATGTGCAAGGCATAGGGAAACTACCACATTATGTTATCCCAAGTAAAACTCACCGAAACTATATGATGACGTCCTCTGGGATAAAGCACTCCGGACGTAAACTAGTCCCTCATTTGGTTGTCCGGGCGGGAACTACCTCGGGGGATGTCATCAATAAGTGCAATAGGGGTAGGTGCAATATTTCACGAAACGGAGAGTGGTATGTTACGGCAATGAGGCAAGTAGGGAAATTGGAAAACTTAAAAGTAGAATAGATTAGAATTAGATATAGTAGGTATTAGCGAAGACCGTTGGTTCAAAGCCCCTACGGGGGTAGGAATTGTAATGCATAGGAAAGTAGGGCAGAGTGTGGAAAGTTATTTACAAAAAAGCGATAGGACAGTGATGGTTAAATTAAACTCGAAGCCGGTAAAAACGGTATTAGAGCAGGTCTACATGCCAACGTCATCTTACAGTGATGAAGACGTAGAAGCAGTTTATGTAGATATAGAAGACGTGTTTAGTGAAAGGGAAGGAAAACGTAACACTTGTAGCGAGACTTCAACGCAGTAATAATTAAAGGTAGAGTGGGTGCAATAGCATGTTCTTTTAGATTAAGCAATAGAAATGATAGGAGAGTAAGCCTGATAAAATTTTGCGATAAACATAATTTAACCGTGGCGAATACTTTAACAGCCATCACGTTAGGAGGCGCTATACGTGGAACATGCCAGGTGATCTAGGGAGATATCAGTTAGATTACATACTTGTTAGGCAAAGATTTAAAAATTAAGTGAAGGACTGTATGAGTTATCCAGGATCAGATATAAATAGCCATCATAACTTAGTAGTTATGAAGACCAATCTTAAATTGAAAATTCTGAAAAAGAGAGAAGGTAGGAGACATTTTGACTTAGAAAAGCTAAAATGTAACGAAACGCGTGATAGGCTAAGTACGAGAACAGACGAAACACTAAAGGCGGCGGGAGAAACGAATGAGAGGGACATAGAGACAGAATGAAACGTGCCTAAGGTCAGCAGCTACAGATATACGAGGTGTTAAACAAAACGAAAGTAGGAAACCCTAGATAACAAATGAAATTGTAGGATTAATTAAAGAAAGGTGGAAATAGAAAAACAGGACAGACGAAGAAGGGCAAAAAAGATAACGAGGCTATAAAGTAGGAAATAATAAGGAAGTGTAGGGCAGCTAAGGAACAGTGGATTGATAGGATGTGTAAAGAACTTCTACTTCTTCAAAAGTTTGAAGTAGGTAAAACCGATGAGGCTTAAAATATAATTAAAAGGAAATTTAGAAATGTCAGGTACAGTAGTAATAATATAAGAAACGAGGCAGGGGTCATTTTGATAGAAAATGAGGAACAGGTAGATAGGTGAAAAAAATATTTAGAGAATCTATACGCAGGCCATGAATTAGGAGATATATTAGAGAAGGAAGATAGTGTGGAGATAGATGAGCTAGGTTATCCTATATTGAGAGAAGAGTTCCAGGAACTATTAGGGGAAGATCAATTTGGGTTTGGAAGAAATAGAGGAACGCAGGAGGTCATTCTAGCTTTACAGGTAACAATAGAAAAAACGATCGAAAAAAGAAAGAGTGCGTACATAAGATTTGTAGATTTAGAAAAAGCTTTTGACAATGTTAAATGGAACAAGATGTTAAATATACTTTAAAATGTAGGGATGAGTTACAGAAATAAAAGAGTGATCCTTAGTTTGTATAAAGAGCAACAGGCAGTTATAGAGATGGAGCTGCAACGTAGAGAAGTAAATATTAGGAAGGGAAGTCAGATAGGGATGCACACTGTCATCGCTACTTTTTAATCTATACATCGAATGCGATCAACATCATTAGAGGCAGTACAACTGTACGGATAGATATGCAGTGGCAAAAGATTACTATGCTTAGATTTGCAGATGATATAACAGTATTAGCGTCTAGCAAGGAGTTAGAGATAGCTTTAAATAAAATGGAAACGGTATTGACAAAACAGTACTACATGAAAATAAATAAAAGTAAAACAAAAATACTGGTATGCAAGGTGTACTAGAAATACAATGCGAGTAAGCAACAATCTGGAATCGTGAGGATTACAGTGAAAGGTCGAAAAAAAAAGAGGGAATTCATACAAACACAAAAACCTAAATTATAACACTAACTATAGGTATAATTGAGTTCCACGGAAATAATTACAAGCGAATTCAACTTTTTGGCACTTTTTAGCGGTGCAAAACACAGATAATTCTTCAGACAATTCTTACTCAAGATCAACACGTGGTTGTCTCTAGCATGGTAGAAAGCAACTCTGGATTCATGGCCGCCGCCAGTCATCCACCGCTCCAGAGGCGAGCAGCGAGAAGAGAGAGGGAGAGGTCGTAGACACTCGGTAAACGAGTGTTCTGCAGCGTGAGTAGTCTATGAACTGGTAGATGCCGCGTCGATGTCAATTTGGGTCTTTAATTGTGAAATCACGCGGACCATCTTTTCCAGAAATGTTCGGTTCGTTGTTGTATAAGTTGCCACTTTGAGAGTCTTGACTCAGCGAGTTCATTCAGCGAAGGTTCTGGAACAGCATTTAGCGATTCACCGATAAGAAAATGACCTGGAGTTAACGCTGACAGGTCTGCAGGATCCTCAGAGAGCGGAGCGAGTGGTCTCGAGTTCAAAATGGCTTCTACTTGATGAAGGAACGTTGTCATTTCTTCATAAGTGAGTAAAGTTTCACCAATAACTCTTGAAAGATGGAATTTTAGCGATTTCACTGCTGCTTCCCACCTGCCACCAAAGTGAGAAGCCCCAGGAGTATTGAATACCCAGTTTGTGCCGTCGTTGGAGAGAAGGGTAGCGAGTTTTCCAAGTTCCTTTGATCATGCCTTGAATAGCGATTTTAGCGTTGCATCTGCCCCAGCGAAATTGGTACCACAATCACTATAGAGAGTATGGCAGATGCCTCGACGGCTAGCGAATCTCTTATACGCTGCTACGAATGTCTCAGTCGAATAATCAGACATGACTTCAAGATGAACTGCAGAAGTTGAGAAGCACACAAAAACTGCGATCCATCCCTTATGAGTTTTTGCACCTCTGCCTTTCCAGGTTTTCAGTGATGGGACCAGTATAGTCTATCCCGGAGTATAAAAAGGCTCTAGAAGGTGTGACTCGAGTAGATGGTAGTTGTCCCATTAGCTGCTGGGCTCGAAGTCCTCGGTGAAGTGCACAAGTGACGCAGCGTAAGATGAATGATCGTACTGGCGCTCGACCACCAATTATCCAGTACGACCGTCTCAGGTAAGCGAGAGTAAGTTGAGTACCACCATGAAGAGTTTTATAATGGGCTTCAGTGATGAGTAGCGAAGTAAGCGGAGATTTTCGAGCCAAAATAGCTGGATGTTTTTGCTCAGGATCAAGTTGAGAGTGGTTCAACCGTCCACCAACTCGAAGAACACCTTGATGATCGATGAACGGTGTTAACTTTAGTAGATAATGTGAAGAAGGTAGCTGATTGCCTTGAACTAGGATTTTTATAGCCTCAGTGAAGTAGTAACTCTGAATCAGTTTTATAATCAGCAGTCTAGCTGATTCCAGGTCAGCGGTAGAAAGCGGTGTGGTCGTCAGCGAAGAGTTTGGTACCTTTTTAGTACATGCAACAAAGCGTAAGCAGATCGCTACGGTACGTAGAAGTCGTGGCAACGAAGAATAGCGAGTTAACAGTTCCCAAAGCGAAGGTTAATCTGCTTTTCCTACAACGTTGAAGATAAGACCTGGTTTTTCTTCAATGTGAGCGAGAGTCTGCGTTGGAGTATCAAAAGTAGGCCGGTTGCGAGCAGATGACAACCAAGGAGTGGCCACTCCACCAGAGCGAATGTTGAGCCAATTTTATTGTTAGTGTTAGCCCTCTCGATGCACAATCTGCAAGGTTCTGCTTCCCAGGGATGAACATCCATTTAGCGGTGGGCTGAAGATCATGAATCTTGATGACACGATTACACACGTACACCTTCCAGCGAGATGGGTGGCTTCGAATCCATGTAAGAGCCACAGACGAGTCTGTCCACAGATAGATAGAAACTTCTTCAAGCTCAAGTGTTTTACTCACATAGCGAGTTAATTGGGCGAGTATTACTGCAGCGTTTAATTCTAAGCGTGGAATTGTAGTGTGTTGTAGAGGTGCAACTTGAGTTTTAGAACACTTAAGCGAGACTGTAGGAGTCCCGTCAGGCGAGATAACCTTCAGGTACACTACTGCTGCCATAGCAAGTTGCGAAGCATCAGCGAAACCATGAAGTTCAATGGTGACTCCAACTGATAACCCCAACCAGCGAGGTATTTCGATTGACTCGATATCAGCGAGGTCTTATCTGAATATATTCCACTTTTGCACTAGCGCAGGAGAGAGCGGTTCATCCCAAGTAACTTTTTCAAACCACAATTCTTGCATCAGCATTTTGGCTCGTACAACCACAGGAGCGAGAAATCCAAGAGGATCGAATAGGTGAGCTGTTTCAGAGAGAATAGATGGCTTTGTAACTGCCTTTTCAGTAGAAAAATGATAAGAGAATTTAAACTTATCTGCTGAATGGTGCCAATTTAATCCCAGCACCTTGATGGTAGTCTCTTTAAAGCTGGTTGAACTTGCAGGTGATCTGTCCGTTGTAGAGACTTGTTGAAGTAGCTCATCAGAGTTGCTGGCCCACTTTGTGAACGGAAAACCTCCAGAAGCACAGATTTTAATTGGCTGGTTAGCGATTTTAGCGGCTTCTTGTGGCGAATCAGCTCCTCCATAAATATCGTCTACGTAGCGACCCTTCGTGAGCGGCTCTACAGCGAGGGGAAACTTTATTCCTTCATCTTGGATCAGTTGTAAAAGCGTATGTACTGCTAGAAAAGGTGCGCAACGGGTGCCATAAGAAACTGTCGTAAGATAATAAGGTACTACCTGTTGTTGCGAATTAACCAGAGAATGCGTTGCAAATCCCAATCTAGCGGATGCACCTTAATCTATCTAAACATGTTGGTGATGTCAGTAGCGAATACGTAGCGGTGTCGTCTGATCCAGAGACGAACGTCGGAGAGGTCAATCTGGATTTTAGGACCAGGATGAAGTACATCGTTCAGCGAAGCACCAGCAGAGGTATTGCAGGAGCCGTTGAATACTGCCCTGAGTTTGGTAGTCGTGCTATGCTCCTTCAGGACGCCATGGTAAGGCAGATAGAAGTGTGGTTTGCTAGTCATAAAGTTGTAGCAGAGTGAACTAAGCGTTGCATTAGACGATAAGCGGCGCAGCATGCTTTGTAAACATCTTTTTGCAGCTGTAGAGGAGTCCCTAAGTTGTTCAATAGACTGTTTCAGCGGAAGGCGAACCACATAGCGTCCTGAAGAATCTCTGGCCTGAGTAGTAGCGAAGTGATGCTCACATTCAGCCTCATCAGGACTGAGAATGACAGTAGAAGAAGACTGGATCGTCTCTTGGGTCCAAAAGGAAGCCAGAAGCTCTTGAATATCATCATCAGCGGATGCATGATATCCATAGCCCCCCTTAGCGGTTGTAGAATTCGTTGGAGGTCCCTTGAGAATCTCTCCGTCAAGAATTAGCCCAGTTGGAACAGCGCAGAGCACAAGATAAATTTCACCTGGCAAAAAATACTCTGGATCTGCCAACTGTAGTCCAGAGACATGAGGTCAATTATGGGCTGGACAGTTGAATTAGGGTAAATTAGCTGTAACTGTTGACAGAATATGAGCCGTGATAGGTATCACAGCTGATGAGTGTAGCGAATGCAGCTCAAGTTGACATTTTCCAAGAGTATTGCCAGCAGACGAATTTCCAATACCATGTAGCGAAAGCGATGAACGTTGGCGAGGGCATTGAAGCCTCTTGAATAGCTGTAGCGAGATAAATGACAACTCAGAGCCTAGATCAATGAGTGCTCGAGCAGGTAACGAATGACCTCGTAGCGAAGAAACCAAAACTCTAGAAGTAGCGAGTAACACAGGAGAGTTTACTTGAGTAGTAGCGAAAGAATCATCATCGAGATTACCGCTAGACGTAGCTAGTCATTGTTGAGTTTCAGCCTGGTTCGATGTTCCTGAGGCAGCATAGGTAGATTGCGTTGAACCAAGTCCTCGAGCCTCAGAAGAGCGTTCAAAATGGGTAGAAGTATGATGTGGACTGCCACATTTCTTACACCCTTGTTTGGTCTCACAGTTCTCAATTTTGTGTCGCCCCAAACAGTTGAAACACAAGTTGTACTGTTTTACCAGTTCCAACTTGCCCTCAGGTCCATCTGCATTTTGGTAAGTGGGACAGAAAAGAAGGTAGTGCTTCTTCTCACAGATGGCACACATCCCCGGCTTACTTGACCTGGCTGCAGCGGTAGAAATATGAACTCTAGCGGAGCTACGAGAAGCAATGGACTTCACTGACTGGCGGGAGGATGTGGACTCAGTAGATGTCGTGGAAACAGGAGTGTTGATCTCGAGCGTCTCCATAGCGCGAGCTCGTCCCGTCAGAAACTGCGTGAGAAAAGAGAAAGCAGGAAACTCAGTTGAAGACCCTACATGGTTCTCCCAGCTTTCTCTCAAACGATCGTCAAGCTTACTGACAGTAAGGTACACAAGAATCGGATCCCAGGTATCCGTATTGACGTTAAGACCCTTGATGGACTCGATGGCCTTGGTGGTTGAACTCAGGAGGTCATTTAAGGCCCGTGCAGAGCGAGGAGCTATCTTCTCCAGTGAAAGAAGACAGTCTAGATGGGAAGATAACATCAGTCTAGGATTGTCATAGCGAGCAACTAATAAATCCCAGGCCGTAGCGAATGCCTCTCCAGTGATTGGTAAACTAGCGATTAGATCTCCAGCGGGTCCCTTCACCTGTGTCTTAAGATAGTGCATCTTGACGACAGGTGAGAGTGTCTCATTGTTTCCAACCAGAGAAACGAACAACTGTTGGAAATGTTTCCACTCTGAATACTCCCCAGTGAAGGTAGGAAGCTGGATTTCCGGTAACTTCTGAAGTTGTGATGAACCTCCGGTAGCGAATGAATTCTCAAACATTGCAGTCCCCGACGGGGTAGAGGAAGTCTTGTCAAGCTCTTCCTTTCTCTCTAGTAGAGAAATTCTGGCGCTCTGGTAATGTTGGAGGCATTGGTTGTACACATCCTTTTTTACGTAAGTCGTCTCTAACAAGCCTTCAGATTTTCCATCGAATAGTTGCATGTGCATCGTTGAGAAGGATAGCCAAGTCTGCTCGAGAAGATCAATTTTGAAGGAAACTGTGTAGCGATTAATTGCAGAAAACGCACCAGCTTCTCCTTCAGCCGCCATGTTAGCAATAGCTGTAACGCGCTGCTCTTGAAGCTGAATACGATGAGCGAGTTTGTTAGCCGCCATTTTAGAGAGAGTGAGACACAACTAACGCGAGAAACTATAGCGCACCTTGCTTCACGCACAAGCACAGAAGGAGAGTACTGAACAAGCGTCGCAGGACAACAAGCGTTGTTGTCAAGC